AAGGAACCCTTCTCCACTGCTGGTGGGAGTGTAGCCTGGTGCAACCCCCGCGGAGATCAGCATGGAGATTCCTCAAAAACTAGGATTGGAGGTCCCATTTGACCCAGCTATTCCCCTTCTAAATATCTGCCCTGAAGAATTAAGAACATTGAACCACAGTGGCATATATGTGCACCCATGTTTATAACAGCAAAATTTGTAATAGCTAGATCTTGGAAACAACCCAAATGCCCATCAACCAAGAAATGGATAAAAAAGACATGGTCTTTTTCTACAATGGAGTACTACTCAGCCATAAGGAAGGATAAACTGGAGACTTCTACAGGTAAATGGATGCAACTCAAGACCACACTCATACGTGAAATAAATTAGATGCACATGTGTAAACACTGTATTTTTTCTCCCTAGTGTGAGAAGCTGAAAGAGTAAGATCCAAAATGTACAATAGATATTGTGAAATGGGAAGAAACTGTTCAAAAGGAAACAGAAACAGGGACGGGGGAAAGGAGAAAAATATATATATATATATATGTGTATATATATATATATAATATATATACACACACACACACATATACACACGAGACAGTTAAGTTAGTTATACCAGTTTCTCTCAGTTCACCCTAGACAGTCTGTGCTAATATTGTTTGGACAATTAGATGCCAATATCCTGGGGGCGCATATCAGAGAGGCACATCACAACTCTTTTGTTCACTCATCTATGCTTTCATCTCACCTCGCACCAACCTGTCCGCCCCTTCGTGTCTTCACATCAGGTCTAACACACTCACAAGGGGTGGTAGCTCCCGTCTCCCCATCTGGGCTGCAATGTGAACGCGTCATGTCCCCGTGCACAGATGGGGCAATGCCAGCGGTGGTACCAGCTGCATGGCGCGGCCACGCATGGTCCACTGCAGCTCAAGATGGAGGGAAAGCAGACCGCATTCAAGGAAGGCGTGACGGATCACACCTGCAATCCCAGCACTTGGGAGGCTGAGGCAGCTCATCACAAATTCAAGGCCACCTGGACTACAGAATGAAACCTTGTCTCAAACACAAAGAAAAATCCAGAGTCAAGTCTTCCCTTCCTGCCCTTACCTGGATCACTGCTCCCAGTCCACAGCTGCGTTTCTCTTCAGATCCACCAACCTCTCTCCCAAAGGGCAACACTAAATAAAACCTGGACAGCAGGTATGGCAGACACCCATAATCCCGGCAATTGGGAGGCTGAGGCGGAAGGATCACTGTGAGTCCCAGGGCAGCCTAGGTAACATAATGAGTTCAAGGCCTGCTGCAATTATATAGGCACCCCTGTCAGGGAAGCCAGGAGGGAGGAGAGAGTTTGACGTCTGGATTGTTTCTGTTCCTTCCCACAAACACCAACAATCTTGAACGCTGCGAAGTCAGCCCACGCGGAAAAGCACACCTGTATCAGCAACCTGCAGGAGGCTGAATCAGGAAGAGGTGAGAGCGAGGCCAGCCTGGGCTAGAGTTCATAACTAGCCTAAACTACGAACAGAGGCACTATCTCAAAAGACCAGAGGGGCTGGGGATTTAGCTCAGCGGCACAGCACCTGCCTGGCAAGTGCAAGGTCGTGAGTTGAGTTCCCGGTACCGGAAAAAAAACAAAGAGAATAAAAAAAAAAAAAAAATCAAAAGACCAGAGTTGCAAAATAAGAGAACCATTCCAATCTCCATTTTTCTTGGGCTCATTATCTTTTATTCCCCCGGTACAGGGCACTGAATCCAGGGCCTTTGCACTGAGCTACAAACCCAGCCCTTTTTAGTTTGAGATGGGGTCTCACTAAGTCACTAAGCCCAGGCTGAGCTTGAATTTGAGATCTTTCTGCCTCGGGCTCCTGGAACGCAGGGATTAGACGTGGAGCACACACCCGGCTCACGTCATTACCAAATGTGACCGCGTGGATGAGCTGGTCCCACTTTCCAGCTGTGTGACTTTGACCAAGTTCCACAACCTCTCTGTGCTGCAGTCAGCTGCAAATTGAACAGTGACTCATTCTTCCACAGAGTCCAGGGAGAATGCAGGCAGAGCGCCTGGCACAGGACTTTGCACGGGCAGCCACAGAAAGCTAAGGACTATGGAGCACTCCATGCGCCCCGATCTGTACTCCAGGTGGCAGTGCGCTCTGCGGTTTTCATAGCACCTTTCTGAAGCAGGGACTTTTCCCACCCTCACTTTACAGATGGGAAACTGAGGCTTAGCAGAGCAACGTGCCCAAGGTGGGAAGCGAAGGGGGAGAGCCATGCACTTCCGGGAAGCTACACTGTTGTGTTAAATAATAAGCACACAGTGGAAGTCGGAGAGGGACCTTCCGTGCAGTTTACGAGAGCATCCCACAGGCGCGGTCCTTTTCTCACTCCCTGCTTTCCAGCAGCTGCAGTCTGCTTTCTGTTTTCACTGTGCACCAAAGTAAAATAAAATCACTAAGGGTCTCCTAGCTGGAGTTTATTTTCCTTGACCAATCAGGGGATGTGGTCTTTCTCTCCTGGCTCCTGGATCCCTGCTGAGAACACTCAACCTGCGCCTTGCGCAGTCGCCCTGCTGGCGGAGCTCTTGACGCTGCGGGGCAATGTGACATAACCAGACCACCTGAACAGGGAGGCATCTTCCCAAAGAATTAAAAAGCATCACACCACAGCAGCATATGCACTCATGTTTACAGCAGCACAATTTGCAAGAGCTAGATCTTGGAAACAGCCCAAAGGCCCATCAACCCAGGAACAGATACAGAAAATGTGGGGTTTTTTATACAATGGAGTACTACTCTGCCATAAAGAAGGATAAACCTGAGACATTTATAGCTAAATGAATGCACCTTGAGATTTTACTGGTAAATGAAATCAATCAGACACACATGTTCAAGTATCACGTAGTTTCTCTGGTGTGACAAACCAGAAGCGTAAATAAGGATTAAAATGTGTAATAGATATTGGGAAACAGGAAGGAAATGTTCAAATGAGAAAGGGTACCAGGGAGGGGGAGGGGTAAAGGAAAGAAGGGACAAGGAAAAAAAAAAGAGAATAGAAAGAAAAAATGGAAACAAAGCTCTTGTAAATAAGGAGGGGAAGCTGAGGTGGTGGTGCACGCCTGTAATCCCGGCACTCGGGAAGCTAAGGCAGGAGGATCGAAAAAGTTCCAGGCGAGCCTGGAATGCATACTGAGTTCAAAGCCAGCCTGAATTACATTGTGAGATCCTGTCTAAAAATTAGAAACAAACAAACAAAAAAAAACAAAAAAAGGAGGGGGAGAGGGGTTGAAGGGAGGAGAGGGGAACGGGAAAAAAGAATTAAAATATATCACGTGCAGGTACAATTCCCTACGATGAACGTGATCATTATGTACATCTGAAGCACGCCAATAAAATTAAGCAAATGCAAAGCAAACAGTAATGCAACAAGAACCAAACGGGGAACAGGGCGGAGCGCCGTGAGGCGGCGCGCAAAAGTTCCTGGAGAAAAGTGGCCCAAGGTGAGGCCCGGAACGGAGAGAGTAATCGGATGGCACAGAGTGCGCTGAGTTTTGAGGACAGGGAAAAGCGGATCCGAAGACTTTACCCGGAAATGAGAAAGAACACGGCATCTTTTCATCCCCAGCCTTTTTAAAGGCTACCCAGCTGGCCTTGAGCTTGCGGGCCTCCGATCTCGGGCTCTGTAACTGCAAGCCCGCGGGAACTTGAGAACGGAGGCTCGAAATTCACAGGGCGCTCGCCTTCCTTCCTCAACTACTGCCTGTTTTAAAAGTGTGGCGGTTGCCACCTTGCCTTGGGGCCAACCAGTTAATGTGCTGAAACCTCTACAAACTGAGCTAAATAAACCTTTAACTTGTGTGCGTTGGTATTTTTGTCTCAGCAAAATGACTTAAGACACTTCCCCACTGTAAGACCACATTCCTGTGGTCCCTATGCCTAATTCCTTGGTCTCCTATGAATAAAATCTGCTTTACCATTAAAAAATAAAAAAATAAAAAATAAAAATAAAAGCGTGGCGGCGCACGCCTATAATCTCAGCACTCGGGAGGCTGAGGCAGGAGGATCGCACAAGTTGGAGGCCAGCCTGCGCTACACAGTGAGTTCCAGGCCAGCCTGAACTGCATAGGGAGACCCTGCCTCAAAGCGGGGACGGGTAAATTGGACAAGTGTTTGTCAACAAGACAAAACACAGGCGGGCATCAGAGGAGAGGAAAAACTAGGTCTCTGAACGGTGAATTTCTCATCTTTGCACACCTGCCTGACTGACAGCCTCACAAACGGAAACTTCCGGTCTCCAAGGCCCTTTGAAGTTTGGCTGTCAAGTTGTGCAAAGGTCCGCACGAAGCGCTCGTTTTCCGGAGGTGCCATCCTCCAAGCCTGGCCTTCTTAAACTCCACCTAAACATCCGTTAAAGCACTCAAGCCCGACCGGGCGTGGTGGCGCACACCTGTAATCCCAGCACTCGGGAGGCTGAGGCGGGAGGATCATTGGGAGTTCGAGACCAGCCTGGGCTACAAAGTGAGTTCAAGGCCAGCCTGAACTGCAGAACGAGACCCTGTCTCAAGAAAACAAAAATAAAATAAAATGAACACTCAAGCCCGAGGGGGAGGGTCCTCTCTCACAGATAAAGACCAAGGTCCTCAGCAATGTATGGCCTCAGCTCTCGCACTGCTTTCTTTCCCACTTTCTTTTTTCAAACAGGGTCCTGCTATGTAGCCCAGGCTGGCCTGGAACTCGCGGCGATCCTCCTGCCTCAGCCTGCCCGAGTGCAGGGATTACAGGTGGGCGACGCAGCCCGCTGGACGCAGCCCGTTCGAGGGGCAGGAAGCAGCCCCGGCC